CTGCCTCGGAAGCCCAAGGAGGGGTCGCTATGAGTCGGGTTTGACTCGACGGCACATAACAACAACAACAACATCTGAATTCTTATAAATTCACTATTAATAGAAGAGTCATATATAAACCTGCCTGCTTAAGCAAGTAACTTCCTTTAATTTTTTAAAAACATTTGTTGTTAATGTTTACATCTGTGAGATTTTTGTCCTCATGCAAAAATTATTTTTTAAATAAAATAAAAATGAAAAAAGGAGTTTTTCCTATTCAATCCAGCTTATGGTAATGGTGCTTTGGAAATTTGCCTTAAAAGAACTTGTCCTTTTTTTGGTCACTTTCAGAGAGCTAGAAGAACTGTCTTTTCTTTCTTAACTCTGGTGATGTTGTGTAGTTTGTTGCTCTTAGCTGTGAGACTAGTGGCTGACATTCCCCTAGTAACCTTGAGCACTGGCCAGTGACAACCCCATGTGATTAATTTCAGGGTTGCTCAAGAGCCCATGAAATGGCAGGAAAATGCTGCTCTCGTCACCAAACAATCCATAGCCGCTGCCATCAGTTGGCTTGAGAAACTGACTTTTGATCCGGCTATGAGCCAGGCTAGCTGTCTGGATGCTCTGCTGGAAGCTGGGAAAGACAAAACTGTAAGTTTGTATCTATGGCTGGGCCCAGTCATAAAAGTGGCTTCAAACTTATTTCTTCACACTTGGGTATTCTCTCACTATTCTTCAGGCTTTTTGTCCCAACACAGCAGCATCCCACAGAGACCCCATCATTGGCATTAAAGAGCCTCATAAGTAATAAGTAATAAGTAATATTAAGGAGCTCTGGGCATATGGCTGGTAACCAGAGGGTCAGCATTTCAAACCCACCAGTCACTCTGCGGAAGGGCGATCTACTTCCATAAAGATTTACAGCCTTGGAAACCTGACGGGGGTCACTATGAGTCGGAATTGACTCGATGGCAGTGAGGTTTTTTTTGTTTTTGTTTTTAACTTTTATAAGTAATATTACTCATAACCTCTCAGTTTGGAAATAGTTAAGAAATAGTTTATAGGTATGTTCTGGTTACTTAGTGCCACTCTGACAAGAATATACCACAAATGGGATGGCCTTAACAATAGGAGTTTTTTCTCTTAGAGTTTGGAGGCTTTAAGTCCAAGTTCAAAGTGCCAGGCTCTAGGAGCTGGGTGAAAGCCTCAACCTTGGGCTTCAGCTCTGCCTCCTGCTCCCGGCCCACAGAAGCTAGAGGCTTTTCTTCACTTAGGCAGCTGCTGGCTGCTGAGGCTGCCAAGTCCAAGGTTGACAAGTAAAAAGGCACAGTCCAGATATTACCAAATCATATGGCAGGCCATTAATTCAAGTCCATTGTTAAGTCCCAAGATCGGCAGAGCATGGCAGGCTGCTGAACAATGACATGGCTACATGCAGGGTTCAAGGTGCCATAAGCTAGAGACCATTCCTAAGGCTTCTCCTTATATACAGGAACCAGACCATATCCCAAAGGCAGCTGCTCAGCTGCTTGTGGTAGATCCCACCATGGACTTGATTGCCAGTCTCATCCTGAGAATAACTACCACCAGCTGCCCAGCCACTCAACCAGGCCCAGCCAAGTTGATACACAAACATAATCACCACAAGGTGCTAGATGGGCATCAAAATAGCAGCTTTGTTGATGGCAGAGGTGGTCTAACCAAAAATGTGGCTCATTTATAGATTAAAAAATCAAACTCCCTAAATTCTTCCTTTTGAGGAAAGGTTGGAGGTTCAAGTCCACCAACAGGTACCTCAGAAGAAAGGCCTGGTGATCTACTTATCACCCACTGAAAACCCTATGGTGTATACTTCTCCTCTAATGCTCATGGGTCACCATGAGTCAGAATCATATTGATGACCACTGGTTTAGGAGTCCCTCTGTGGTACAGTTAAGTACTAAGTTACTACTATCAGAAAAGTTGGAGATTCACGTTTACTTAGAGGTGCCTCAGAAGAAAGACCTGGCACTCTTCTTATGAAAGGTTGCGGTCATTGAAAACCCTATGGAAGTGCATTCTTCTCTGATACATGGGATCACCATGAGTAGGAATAGACCTGATTGCAACTGCTTTTGTTTCTGGAACCTAACTGTGCTTGTTCCCTCTGTGGGGTGGTTGTGTCCACAGAGAAGACTTTTATTTACCCAGTGTCAGGAGAGCCACATTACTTACACCTACTTAACATCAAGAGAAAGGACAAGGAATTGAGCCATAGTTGTGCAACTTTGACACATTAATTCCAGTCTTGCTCTCCTGCCAATTAGATAGATTAAGCCATCTCTTATGGGAAGGAGAGAGAGGCTGGAAGACTCCTTATAGAGCCACGAGGATGAGGAAATAGGATTTTCTCAACATCCATGTTCTGAAACTTTACCAATTCCTCCTTTCCACAACTGGATTTATCATGTGTTTTCCAAGGTAAAGTATATCCGAACTGATGAATCCACCCATTTTGGAATGTTAATGTATTGCTGTACATTTTGATAAGGACCTTCTTTTGATAAAGAAATGAAGCTTTACCATGGAAAGAATCAGTTCAATTTTGTTTTACATCTCTTTTAGCCACAAGGGTGTTTGTTCTATGAATGACAGTAATGATGGGACTAGCAAGGGGTGTGACAAGCTACTAGAGAAGGATTCTTGGTAGGTGGGGTCCTTTGGCCAACCTCACTTTCCCTGGATGGGGGGTCGGGTAGGTCTGCTTTACTTTAGGATAGGTATGAGCAAACTTAATTGCTTCCTTTTCAGGAATCCCTGAGATACTGTAGGCTTTACCTACTGTGTTCAGAAACCTGTTTTTGAGCAAGGGGGGTCATGCGCTGGCACCTTGAAGGGATACCCCCCAATGGTCACCAGACTGTGTTTTTTGGTGCTGAGTATGATGGTTTCAAATTGGAAAAGCATTATTTTTCCTTCCAAAGCCGGAGGAACAAATGTTTCCCATTAAGGATGAACAAAATACAAGTTACTTTGTTCTCTGGCCTTTCAAGTTTGTTTTAACATCTGTAAAATTTCAAATGTCTGGCACCTTAATAAGCATTCAATAAATAGAACATTTCACAGGCTCTTGGATGTGTGTGGACATGCATGTGCACATGGATGTTCTCTTTGTTAAACTGGTTATCATGGTGATAGCTGGCTGTTGTGCTGTGACTGCAAGAACTCCGAGGGACCTTGTCTTTCTATTTCACTTTCCTCTGGTTTGTGCATCCTCTAACTCTGGGGTTTGTCCCTAGCTCAGGAAATATGGGACAATTTAGTGAATTCCAGGGGAGTCCCATAGAGGAGGAAGAACGAAGAAAGAACCTTACAGGCTAAACAAATAATTTTATGAGTAAAAATCAGCACAAAGCTTGTTTCTAGGAGACAGAGGTCAATCATGTCTCTGCTTTCTAACTTCCCCATTTTCTCTGACACTAGCTGCTCCCTTCCCCAAGACACTGTTTCTGTTTCTCTGTTGAGTTAAGTAATTTACTGCAGTGTCACACAAAACTCACAGACTGTACTTACAGTTATATAATTTATAAGGGTAAAGGATACAATTCAGTGGTAACTTAGGATATGAAAAGGCAGGAATAACAGGATTCAACTCAGGAAGGAGTTCAACTGGTGATTGGAATGTAAAAGTTGGAAACAAGAAAGAACAGTAGCTAGAAAATATGACCTTGGTGGTGATAATGACGTTGGAGAGCATATGATTAAACTTTGCAAGACCGGAGGCTTATTCATTGCAGATACCTTTTTTCAACAATATCAATGGACCTTGCCAGCACATGGACCTTGCCAGATGGAATACACAGGAATCGTATTGACTACATCTGTGGAAAGAGATCTCAGAGAAGCTGTGCTGCAGTGAATTACTTAATATGGCCCTTTTAGCCATAGTCCTCCATTTTGTGATATATTATAAATCCTAAAGTGCTGAAGAGGAGCTCTGGTAGCATAGTGCCTAAGGCACTTGACTGCTAACCAGAAGGCTGGTGGTTCAAACCCACCAGCCACTCCTCAGAAGGAAGGTT